AGTTGTCTAGTTATGTCTGCAAGTTCTCTAAGCTAACTTCTCTCTGTAATTGGAAACAGATGCTTTATTTTAAGGTTTAGATTTGCAATTCTACTTGGCAGTATTTCTAGTAATGTAAAATAGGCTTTTGGTAGTTTATTGAACTGATATAATCTATGTAAAGCTGCAGCAACTGCTTTGGTATAATCTCTTTGTTTTATTGGCAGGTCAAAAGGAAGTATCTAAATTATGTTTTGTGGAATTTGATTAGGTTTAGCTGGTAGTTGTTTGAGGTGTAATGTAGTTGCTTCTTGTACTGTCTCATATAGTTCTTTATTGTTTTTAATTGTTTTATCTTTGGTAAATCCTTTGTAGTATTTGATAAGATAATAGATTTGCTTTGTTGACATTTTGTAAAACTTTGTGTTAGTTAGGTAATCAATCATGATTTTTTGTCATAGTTTTTAGTAGATCAAGTTTCTTGTTTGTTTATCAGTCATGGTTATTTTGTTATTTGTTTTGTATTTCTTTAAAGCTTCTTGGAAAAGGTTTTTATATACTTCTTGATGCTGTGAGTTTGATTTTTTTTCTCTCATAAAAGTAAGAAAGAAGGTAGTGACTCTGTATCTAAATTTAGCTTCAATTGCTAGATGTAATGCCTGATTTGTAGGTTTAGTATGCATTTTATATTAAACAAATTCTTGGATTCCTTCTTTGCTTTGAAGTGTGATTACTATTTTATCATAGTTCTATTGAGCTTTGTTAAAGACTTGATCTACTTTATTTTCTAATTTTTTATTAATTTCTTGTATTCACTCTTCTGTATAGTCATTTTGTTTTGTGCTTTTTTTGTTGTTAGGCTGTATTAAGTTTTTTTGTGCTATTTGGCTATAAGTTATTTGTGCTACTGGTTGCTCTGCTGTTGTATTACTATTGATTTCTATTTCTATGTTGTTGTTGTTTGCTAATAGTGCTGTGTTTTGGTTTTCTGTTAGTAGTGCTTCATTGTTGTAATCTTGTGTCTGTTCTTGTAAGTTCACTATACTATTCTAATTAGATGCTACATTCATGTTGCTGGTTTGTTGTGTTATCATGTTTTATTGGATGTTGTTGTCTATTTCAGATAAGTTGTTGTTGTTTATTTCTATTTCTGGCATCTTATTGTTGAAACCTGTTTGATTCAGTTTTGTTTTGTTATTGTAATTTGGCAATAATGTCATTTTTGATTTTATCAAAGGTATTCCAATTTTGCCACTTTTTGGCCTTTTGTATAGTAAAGCAGAGTTGGTATGAAGTTTTTTTGCTTTTGAAGCTGTACTATCTATATCTGTTTTGTTTTCTCTTGGGTTTGTTTTCTGTTGTTGCTACTGGCTTTACTTCTAGTACTATGGCTTTCTATTTGGATTTGTTTTGCTGTCTTGAATGTAAATTTGTATATTGGCTCAAGGGCCTGTTGCTCAGCTGTTGTGTTTTTAGTTGTTGTTGTATTCTTTTTGCACTTTATCTTGTCTGTTTAGTAGTGCTGCAGTCTAGTTTTGTTGTTTTCTTTGTCATTCTAGTAATTTATTATTTATTTAAATTTGCTCAGTTTTTTCTTTATTTATTTTCTTATATTTTTGTAATTTTTTGAAAAGAGTTTTGGCACTTATATGCCATAATACAAATATTACATAAATGATTATCCAAATTTTTGTCATTTATAGGTTTTGAACTCACAACCTTCCACTTGAAGGGTTGACAACTTATCCATTTTACTAAGTTGTTACACTTCTTAGCTGGCTTTTTAAATTAGTTATTTGGCAAATATTAGTTTTATATTATTAGAATTTAAAAGTTATATATAGCTGTTTACAGTTTGATTATTAAGATTTTTCTTTTTCTGATTATGCTTTATGGACATTTCTAAGTTTTAAAGCCTAATAATTCTTGTACAGAGTAAATATTTTGTTATGCCTGATCTGTACAAACTGGACAGTAAAAATAGTTTAAAAGCTGGCTCTATTGTTGTATCTTATAGTGCCTAGGAGGCTATTAAATTTAAATTCTATTTTTATATATTTATTTCTTATTTTTGTTTATTTTTATTTATTTTATTTTTCTTTAAATAAAAGATCTTTTACTTAGCAATCATGTTATTAAAAATTATTACAGCTTGTTAGTTTTTAGTAAATTTTATTATAATATAAAAAAATTTTTTTATTTTTATTTTTATATACAATATTTCTTTACCTAATTTCTATATACAGGTTTCTTATAGACTTGTCTGTCTATAGTTCTCAATTTATAAGCACTATTTCTATAGGTATTATAAATATAATACAGCTTAATCTATTTTTTCTTAAGTTTAAAACTATGTAATATAGTTAAAGTCAATCTAAATAAGAGTACTAAATCACTAATTTTGTATGACTCTATTTGATAGTTAGAGTCATAATAGTTATACTGTTTTTGTTGTGCTTTTTTGGTCTTAGTACTAGCTTAATAAAATGCTTCTACTAAAGTTTCAAATAATGCCTCAATCTGCCTTAATATATTTCTTTGTAATTCATTTTCAGTTGTTATTTTAGTAAGAAAAGTAATTAATCTAATCTTTATAGAAAGAAGGACATTACAACTATAAATCAAGAAAAAGAGTTTATAATAAATAATACTATGCTAGGCCATTCAGTATACAAATAGGGCAGGAGTTATATAGTCATTTCACTTATTTTCAAACTGGCTAAGGCACTTAGCAAGTACTTCATATAGGATATAATTAAATTGTTCTATTAACTCATTGGTTTGTGAATAGTAGGTAGTAGATAGATGATACTTAATGCTTATCTGATTATATAAAGCATCTATCACTTTATTGCAGAAATAGAAGTCTTGATCAAAAAGTAATATCTTCAGACTTCTATATCAGCAAATTAGATTATCAAATAAAAAATATACTACTAATATAGCATCAGCTTTCTTTAAAGCTTGAGCTTTAGGCTATCAGATTAAATATTTTGTAGTAACTACTATATATCAACTTTCTTTTGTTGTAACTGATAGTAGTCTTACAATGTTAATATCTACTCTGTTAAAAGGCTATTCAACTTGGATAAAGTAAAGTGGTTCTTTACTGCTAGGTCAATATTATCTTTGACAAGAGTCATATAATTTAATATAGACCTTAATACTTTTTCTAATTTGAGGCCAAAAATACCGAACTGCAATTTATTAAAAGGTTGACATAATGTTAAAATGGCTAGCTAAAAGATCTGAATGCATACTAAATAGGATAGACTTTATTTTGCAGAGCTTAAAAACTCATTGGAGTTTTAAAAGATTTTTCTAGTTTCTTTTATATAATAACCCTTCTTGAACTAAATAATGTTGGATTCTATATTTTAATTGTTTTTCAGCATAGTATAAAAGTATCATTGCATTATTAAGGTATCTTAAAAATAGATAATATGTGTTTAGATTTATTTATGTTATAATAGTTGATCTTTAGTATAGATGAACAAATATGATTATTATATAATTATAATATAATATATATAAATTAATATTTTAAATCAATTTAAGTAAATTTACAAATAGTTAGAGTCAGGATTAGAATTATAATATAAATTGGCCTAAAGTAGATAGGTTTTATATATTATAATTTTGTAATAATTTATATATATCTACTTATATTAAAGAAGATCTGTTATAATTATATAGGTATTTAGAATTGTTTATTTTGTCAATAAAATATATAATACTTTTTTTTTTTTTTTTTAGATATGAGATAAGCTATTGGTATTCAAATGTCTTTTGTTAGGCTTATAGATTGTCTTAAAAGAGTATTCTTGTAATCTTAGAATCTAATAAGCAAGCTAATTTTGAGATAGTTTATAAGAGAACAAGAATTTTAAAGCTAAATAATTTGTATATAAAATAAAAAAGACACTATATAAATATTGTTAAAAATATGACATAGCCTATACAACTGTCAGACACTCCTCCTTAGTCATGAAATAATGCAATTGGCATATACTATTACTCTTTTTCTTCTTTTCAAATTAAGTTAGAAAAGGACTGTATCTAAAAATTGATAAGATATGTTAGTAAATAATAGGAATTGTTTAGTTTCATCAAGGTAGGCTAAGACAAAAGCAGTGATAAGTTTTAGTTTTAATTTTTTAAAAGTCTCTTCTTATTCAGAATGCTACTTATAGTATTTATTTTTTTTTAATAATAAATTTAGAGATGCAGCAATGTCAATGAACCCTGATATGAATTTTTAATAATAGAAGACAAGTTCCAAAAATCTTTGTAGTTGTTTTACATTATAGAGTGTTAAGAAATCTTAAACAGCTTGTATCTTTTTCAAATCAGTTAAGATTCCTTCATTATTTACTATATACTTCAAGAATTTCAATTGGTGTTTTTCAAAGAAGCACTTTTGAAGTTTTAACTTAAGATCTGCTTTCTGTAACTGTTTAAAGTCTTTTTAAAGATGAATAAGGTATTTGTTAAATGTCTTAAAGAAAATATTAATATTTTCAAGGTATATGATAACAAATTTCTTGATAATATTTTGAAAGATGTTGTCTATTAATTGCTAAAAGGTAGCTAGAGCATTAGCTAATCTGAAAAGTATTACATTAAACTCATAAATCTGTTCAGATATTATGAAAGTTGTTTTTTTCTATTCTTTTCTGTCATTTCGATCTGCTAGTATCTACTAGCAAGATCTAGAAAAGTATACCAAAATGATTTTTTCAAGATATCTAAAAGATTATTGATTTTTAGAAGTAGATAATTGTTCTTCTTTATAACAGCATTCAATTTTTAGTAGTCTATACATATGCATTTCTTTCACCTTGTTTTACTAAGACTACTAAAGAAAACTAGGAGCTATAGGAAGCTTAAATTATTTTTTTCTCTTTTATTATTCTCAACTTGTTATTTAGAAACTCTTTTTCTTTGATAGAATGCTGATAGAGTCTTTGTTTAATTTGTAGTGCATCAGTATTAATTATTCAATAATGGCTTCTATTAATTCAACCAAGTTCAGAGATACTCTTAACAAAAAGATTGGGATTCTTATTCTGAATCGATTTTATTCTTTCTTTTTGGTCTTTAGAAAGAGTCTCAATGTTATATATTATAACTGGCTTTTTCTTCTTATCAAAATAATAGTTAAAGAGGTTTGTGATTTCTTCATATTCTTTTGTTAATAAATCTTGTAACTACAGATAATCTATAAGCCAAGAATTAAGAGCCATTAATAAGATAAGTTCATTCTTATTTTTATCACTATCTCTTTTTTCTTAATTTCTGTTGTAATTAACTTCTTGTACATAATAGTTATTGCTATTCAAATCCTATTAGGCTTTTTTTATTTCTAACTTATTCTTAATCACATTTCTAAAATACATGTTATTCTTATTAGAATTTTTGTCTAGCTCTTCTAACTCTGAAGTCTGTAAATTCTATCTTCTAGTTCTTTGTCTTTAAACTTATCCTCATCTTTCTTGTTATTTTTTGTTTCTTCTTCTTTATTAATATTATTTTCTTTTTGATTTATCTTTGTAGATCTTTTAGTTTCAAGCAGTTTTAAGATGATTTTTCTAAATTCTATAGGTACTGTAACTTCCTTTCCATCCTATGTGAATGTCATTTTAGAAATGTTCCAATTAATTAATGTACTCATCTTTGATAATCAATCATTTCTGACTAGGACATTATAAGAGCTAGCATTAGTAACAATAACACCTATTAAGATTTTTATCTCTTTAACAACAAATAGAAAGTCAGCAATTTTACTAATAGTTTTCTTAATTTTATTATAAATGTTGATTATAATAATGGTAAATAAGTAATCAATTTTAATATCTAAATCTTTTAAGAGATAAAACAATATAACACTTTCAGAAGATCTGATATCAACTATCAGAGAAATCACTTTCTCTTAAACTTTTGTATCACAGTATAGTATGGTTAACTTTTGAGTATTTTGAAGATTTATATTGCTTTTTAACTTCCCCTTTACAATTATTTTTTTTTTTTGTAGAAATTAAATTAAATTGAATCTTATTAACAAAACAGCTTTGAACAACTAACCAAATGTAATATTGGTCAGCTTATTTTGTATTTCAGTAATGTTTAAGTATAAAACAACTAGTGATAATATTTGTAGAATATTATTTTCTAGTTTTTTCTTTCTAATAGAAATAAGTTTTTTCTTTTTTTTTTTAACAGATTATATTTAATTAAAGTGAATTGCACTTCTTCTTTATACTAATTATCTTTTATTATTTCTTTTACTAATATTGTCTTCTTCTCATCTATCTTTTGCTTCTTAACTTATATTTTTATAAGATTATTCTTCCTTATTTCTATTTTAGCAAGAGCAAAAATAGAAGCATCTTTATTGATAAATTCTAAATATATAAGACACCTTTTAAGAGCTTTGGGTTAAGCTGTTTGTTAAAATAAATTTATTAATACTAACAATGCTTTCTGTAAATTAGTATTGATTGGAAAAATTACAAGCAGATTAGTAACAATTAAAGGTTGATAAAGAATGATACAGTTTTAACTTATATGTCCAAAATGCCTATAATTATAATAAACAATAAGATTTGAGTTAGGGTTTCTTTAATTAGGTTGATAACTTCTTTGAGACTGTTACTGATCTTAGACTTGGACTATTATTTTATTAACAACTTCAGTAAGTTTATTAATTATTGTTTTAGTTCTATTTATAAAGAAAATAAAGACTTGAATTAGGTTATTTTGAAGTTAAACTATTTGAAATAGATAAACTATAGTTTGATCTAAGAAAGCAGCATATGTAGGATTTTGTTTATAAGTATTTTCAAATAGTTTAGCTCAATTATAAGCAACTTGTAATATATGCAAAGTAAATGAAAAAATGGTTATGTATAATTCTAACTTTAGTTTATTTATAAACATTTAAGCTTTAGCTAAATTGAAATACTGGTAATTTCTGACTTTAACTCTTCTTATCATTTTTTTTATAACTACATAATAAGAATTAACAGTTTTTTTTAGAAATTGTTTTTTTTGTATAAGCTAAGTAAACTACTTATTTTTTAATTCAAGAGTCTAAAATTTCATAATAAAGTTGACTTTAAAACTTTATATCATATTTGTATTATTGCTTCATTGATCTATAATTAGATTTTGTACTTTTATAATCTCTTACTAAATATAAGCTAATCTTTTTAATTTAGAAATAATTATAAGTATTTTTTAGGCATCATTAATCCTATTGGCTTCAAAAGTCTTTTTTAACATCTTTTAGTCAAGAAATTAGATCTTAGTTTTTTTTAGAAAATTTAAAATAGGAAACTAAGTTTAGTTCTCTATGAGCAACTAAGAGGTTTATTTGTAATAATTGTACTAATTGCATTTATTAAACCAAATTAGCAATTTGGTTTACTAAATTATGTATTAGATTTAAATTCTATTAAGACTGAAGAAGTTGTTAATGTTGTAATAAAGATTGTTAAGCTATTTTATATATATTTTTTTCTTTTTAAATAATATTCTTTAAATACAGAAGTTAATTAACTCAGAGTTTTGTCCAATTCTTTTACACAACTAGTATTAAATGTTACTATTGTAAATTAGGAAAGTGGATATCATTATACAGTTTAGTTTTAATAATTAATATAATACTAGGTTTACTAATATAATTACTATTAGAAGAAGTAATATAAATAGAATTTTATATTCAATTTATAATTGAGTTAAAGATATTTGATCAAAAGAATTAGTAATTTAGAGATAATCAGAATTGATTTAATTAAGAGTAGCTTTAATATTAATTATGTTTTTAAGAGTAATCTAAATAAATTATTGTAATATAGAAGTAACTTAATCACTAAGTAATCAATTGATATAATCAATATTTGTCTATGTAGTTTCTTGTAGTCATAATACACAATAAAATTTATATAATATATGGTTTTTATTTATTTAGGTAAAGATCTATTCAGCCTCAATGCTTATTTTCTTTATGTTAAATAAGAAACATAATGTATATTTATATGCAAAGATAGTTAAATGTAATAAGAAAACAATTACTTATTAAACAAAGTTAGGTAAGTTAAAGTTTGAGATGTTTTGAAAGAGGTTTTTAAGATAAAGTATAGGGAATTATTTATTTAGAAAGTATTAGTAACTTATTTCATAACTTATTCTTCTCATAAAAAGGTGAGAAGAACTTCTATTTATATAATTTTATTCATAAAAGCTATATAAAAGAAACTTTATCTATAATCAAGTCACTTAAATTCTTATGAGCAGTTGTTTACTTCTTCATAAGCAGTTGCTTTGCCTATGATTATCCCATTCTAAGGTAACACAAAGCCACACTGCTCAAGTCACTAATCCCAGATATGCATCTTAGTCCCAACTGCTTATCTTAATGTTTACTTTAGCCTCAACTGCTCATATGCGTAGCTACCATGTTCTTAAACGTAAACAAAGGTATGAGCAGGACGAATTATAAATAAATAACTATATACAGGTATAACTGAATAATAAAAAGGCTATAATTCCAACAATAGTAGTAAGCATATTGCTAACATGTGGTAAATGTAAAACTATAGCCACTACAAAGTAACTATATAACTATTTATATTTTTTTAAAATAGTTCTAAAGTTGCTAATTTGCAAGTTTCGGTAAAGTATATATAGTTGATTATACGTATTAGTTCAATAAGGCTAAAAGCAGAATCATTTTAGAAAAATAACTCGCAAGAAAAATGAACACGTAAAACGATGATCATATTTTTACATATCAAGAAATAATGTGTATAATTACGTATAATAATATTTTTCAATGAATTTAATAATTTTGATCTACGTAGATGTGCTCTTAATGTTAAATCCGATTATTTTTTTTGTGTTAAACCAACTTATCATTATGGTTAGTCAGAAAAAATCCAATAAATATTGTTTTTAAAATCATAATCGCAATCCTTGTTAACCGGATTTAACTAAATAAACAAAGATTTAATGGAACCGATTATATGCTACATATATATATATATTTAGAAAATTTTCGGTTGTTTATTAGAATTATAATACGTAACTATTGTGTATATATACATAATAAGTAACTGTTTGTTACTTGAATACAATAAAATAGAAAAGGAAATACTTTAAGTAGTTGTTTATTTTTCATGTGTCGAAATAATCGAATAGTAATTATAGTATTTTTCTGCTAACCCAATGTTGAAAATGAATTAGACAAAAAAAAAAAAAAACCAATGCTAATAAAACCACATGCTACAATATTATCTAGCATCATTTTTGAATTATTTTCTTCAAACTCCAAGTCCGCCTCAAATCAAATAGAACCAAAAATAAAATTAACATACTATTAATAATCGGTTCAAAAAAAAAAATCTATAATAATCAAATTGGATTCAGATTCTTTAGAGATGTATAAAAAAAAAGCTATACAAATTGAACACAAGGGGATAGTTCATAGAATGTAATTTTGACTAAAAAAGATATAAATATATATATACGTGTATAAAATAAAATATAGGAATATAAAATATATAAAAAAAAACCATTTTTGTAATAATCGACCAGCGAGTGGCTAAAAAAATTAAATTATCTTTACCGAAAAAATCAAGGAACACAAAGTTCCTAGGTTTTTCCAAATTATCATCTATAAAATATCCCACCAACCTTGAATGATATTTATTTTTTAATGTTCATATTATGGGGTTTTTTCCTTTTTTTTTTTTTTTTTTTGAATCACAAATCCAAAATGATTGACTATGAACTATCTTCACCACTACTATTTGATTGGACAAATAACTTGGCCTTAACGGCAGAAGCAAGCTCTTCAGAATTAATAGCTGCCAACTTAGCTTTTTGAAGCTGTATTTGTGAATTTGAGCTAGCATCATGTACATACATGGATGATACTCGTGATAAAGGATATTGTTTATATGAGCCAGTTGATATGAGTTCTTGCATAGCTTTTTCACAAAATATTTCCAGAATTTTTTCCAACTATATAATAAGAAAATAAATATTATTTTAAAGTTTACAAAAAAAAAAAACTCTAAAAAATAAATATAATTTGATAACTTACATGAGCTTTACCAGTATTTGTTAATTTGACGACTTCTGTTACATTAATATCATCATATTTGATATCAAATCGGAATTTGGAAGCACTATTAAATTTTCAAAAAAAAAAAATAGAAAAATTTTTTTTAACGAATAATTAACAATGAAGTACAGTAATTAATGAATTAATTACAGTAATTATGATAATTAATAATTTACAAAAATTAATTATCGTAGTTATAGAGTTTACAGTGAAGCCATTATCATTATGACAACTATTAGATAACAATAAGAGAAATACTTACGCCATAAAGAATTTCAAATTTTCAGTTGCACGATAAGTTCTTGAAGTATCATCATGTATTTTATCGATAAAGCCGAAAGGACGTTTCGAACGTCGTACTATTGTATTGTAAATTATACAGAATAATTTACCATCGCTATAAAAAAGAAACAGAAGAAATAAAATAAATAAATAAAATCTAAATAGCGTAACAATATAAGGAATAATTTAATACATACGCTAAAGAAGCTAAGAATTCAGTTTTGTCTACACAAGGATCAGGAAGCGGAATATAATCAGCGGCTTGTTTAGACTTTGATGGACGATGAGCTTCCAAAAAGGCGTGATAACGAGCTGATGAAAAATATATATAATAAATAAATAAATATATATATATAAATAATAAAACGGAAATAGAAAAGTAAAATTACCAATTTTATTATCACCAAAATGATCAGGATCCACCCAATCACTATTTGGATGACCAGGTGATAAAGGAGGTGTTATTGGGGCGTCATTACCCTTTCTTTCATCATCAGTTGAAGTTCTTAAATAAGAGACATTAGGATAAATATTCTTATCGTCAAAGAGTAAACAATCCTCGACTATTATTAAATATTTTTTCAGAATTTCACGTTGGCTATCTAAGGATCTATAATTAGATTCTTTGTATATATGACCATCTTCACTGCTGCTATCATCAGTGTCATCATCACGATGATCTTTTTCTAAATTGCTAATCATTTCAAGAACTTCCAAAGCAGCCGCACGAATTTTAGAAAGAGATTCATCAGAAAGATCTTCTTTAAACATTGAATAATTTTTTACAGATTGAATAGTTTTTGTAGTAGTTTCAATAGCAGCCAAGACATCAACAGGTACAGGATCAGCTTCAGCTTTTACTTCACCAGTGACCATAGACCAAGCATCCAACATTGCTTGAATATCAGCATGACAATTAGCTAATAGGACATCGGGATCAGTTTCAACATCCAATTTAGTAGTGATGAAAGAAGGAAGCGGAGGAGGAGAAGGTGGTAGAGGAGTAGGAGGGAATTCTTCATCGGGTTCTTCAGTAATATGTAAAAGGTCAGATATATTTGTGATTATACTAAGTTTCTCAGCTTCTTGTCTAAATTAAGATAAAAATTGTAAAAAAAGAAAATCTAATCAAAAAAAAAACAATAAATTAAAACATACTTGTTTTTTGGTTTTTTTGGTTTAAAAATTATTCCTCTTTTTGCATAAAAATGTTGTAAATGAGTAATACTACCCAAAGCTAAAACAGATTGACGTTTTTTAGCACTTTTAGCAAATTCTCGAGGTTTAGCAGGTTTTTTATAGCCACGTTTAGGAGACCCAGGTGCCGGTAAAGTGTAGCCTCTATTTATTTGTTTTGGCGAAGTATCTGGATCTGTAAAAGACGAAGTTGAGATCGTGGGTATAGTCGAGTGCCTTAGTGTATTTTGTGGAGAATCAAGTGGGGAATCCATGGCTTATTGTTTTCTTGGCACTTTTTTTTTTTTTTGTTTTTTTTTTTTTTTGATTACGGAGGAGTATTAAATTTTTTTTTTTTAAAAAAAAGATTTTCGAAAATCCTTATTTATTAGGAATTTTATATAATAAAATTTTTATATTTTATGAAGATGATACCAAGTTTAAAAAAGAAACAACTAAAAACATCAACTAGTATTTTTCAAGTTTGTAGGTTACAACGATAAATTGATGATAATAAACTTGTAATAATAGTGTAGAATCAAAAAGTTTAATCGAAAGGGAGGAAATAGGAGGATAGAGAAGATAGGAAGGAAGTGTATTAAAGGAGTAGAAAAAAAGAATGACGAAAAAGGTCAGTGAGGAGAGGTTAAAAAAAAAATTCCAAAGGAGCGTTAGGAAATTAAGGTTAACAGAACGAAAAATTATTTTAATACACGAATAATAAATTATCTTCTACCTGTGCACCCAAAATCGCACGAATGATAATGCTTGGGTTTATTTAGATTGATTTACACAAACAGAGAAAAAAAATAAAGAATATATAAAGTACAGTAGAAGAGTTTATGTAGAAGAGTTTATTAAGATGCCTCTAGTTGCATGATTCAGTAATTGCATGAAGAAATGAATATGATTGATCTATTTATTATTTTATACTTTTGAAATTGGAAAAATTGATATCAATGAGTGAATTAACCTTACTTATATAAAAAAAAATTATTGCGAGGGAATGTCACGTGTAATAATAACACAAAAATAGAAGCGAATTTTCTAGACACAGCCACTTTCATTGAAGGTATATATAGATATAAATATATTGAATGAAAGTAGTCTTTTAAAAATTTCTACACAGCTCCAAGATAATCGTTAGTGCAACCTTCATAATATTGACAGAAAACCGATACATTGTCAGAATTAGGAAAGAAAACAAACAAGCACTTCGTTGAGGGTTTAAACGAAGTCAAATTATGCATTTAAGGTCATCAAATAGTCCACTTAATACTTTATAAAACAACATGTAACCGACAGGTTAGGAGAATATATATAACATAATAATTACAATAAGCAGAACATTTTTCCCTGCAGAGAATGGTTGCTTCTTTATTTAGTAAACATTAGCCACTTAATTTCTCACACGTATTTGAATATCCTAATCCGAATATATACCAAATAAATCTTCAATGCGAATAATGCAATAATACGTTTAAATAATAGAATTTTTTATTGGACATTTTGAGACATGACCGCAGCCTAAACTCATACGTATCGATTTATTACGTATCGATATCGATACATAATTTATCATACAATAATAACTGATAATACAGTAATATACGAACATGAATCGATACATGAATGCGGGATATTCTTTCAGTTTCAAAAATGACATGCGACGGGACTTATAGATTATATATTGCACTCATACCAATCACCTTTTTTTTTTATTTAACTCGTTGCATGATTGTTTCTCAAAACAACAAATCGTCGTTCAATATGAAATATCTTTTCTATGCACATATGACTACTTGTAACTAATCATTTTTACTATATGTTTTGAAACTCTCAATATTGTAAAAACATAAAATAAGTTTGTTTATTTGTATTGCTTCTATTGGATCTGGCTAATTACTAATGCGCATTACAACATTTGTATCCTTATAAAATTCCCGTTTATAATAATTTTAACTATATATTTTAAATTTAAACTTAAAATCTTTGTTTTTCTGTTTAATTAAAAATTTTTTTAACTATATATGTGTCCTTAATTTAATCATTTATCGTTATGTGGTGATAATATGTAACTACTGTAACTACATAACGATGTCTATATATATAGCATTTAATCAGGTGTTAACGTTAACTCTGATAGTGATACCCGCCAACTTTAAATTTGACGGGTATATAGTAATTATATAGATATAAGCGATGTCAAAAACAAAAATGATTAGTGGTGTTAAAAACCATAATATTTAAGAATTCTGTTGTTGAATTCAGCCGAAAGAAATGTTGTTTTGGGATAAATCCAATTCCGAGTTTTTTTCTCAATTATATATATGCTGTATGTATAACTATTATTTTAACTATATATATATATATTTATATATTTATATATTTATATCGATATTTATATTTATCAATAGCGATAATACGTACCAAAATTTATGTATGTTAATATTATCCGGAGTAACCTTCATCTGGAGTATTAAATCTGCAACTAACAGTACGTACATACTACATGAATGGTCGCTTATCTTGATGACATTTACCTTTTATCGTTATTAATAAAATTTCTATATATTAAATAAGCAATGCATCGTGTCTGTCCGTTAATCCGTAGTAACCAATTAACATAATGTGTAATGCTTTTGAATATATTGTATTATGCTTTACGTTAATGATTTATCGCAATACTGTATCTAATTCACTCTGGTACATGTAATACGTAGTTTATAATTGCTACGTATAATCTACTTTATAATAAAAAAAAAACTATTATAGAATTTGGTATAATATACATAAAAAAGAAATTTACTATCTTTTTCCATAGAGTATAATACCTAATATAATGTTTATATAATGGATTATATTCAAAATATGTATGGTTATATGCAAAAATTAGATATTTATATGTATATGGTTATCTTAGTAAGGTTTTGAGATATTAATAATTTTAATTTTTTTCTTATATCAGGTATTATATTTACTAGGTACAGATAATAATTCTTTATAAAAAATTTAATATCTAACATAATTTAATATTATAAAAAATTTAATATCTAACATAATTTAATATTATAAAAAATTTAATATCTAATATAATTTAATATTATAATTAAATTTTTTTTTTTTTTAGTATTAAGGTAACCTCTTTGGTCGTAGCTTTTTATTAATACTTATATCAGGTATATATTTTATATAGATATATCTATAATGAACTATCAGACAAGTATATAACTAGTTATATATGTAACTTTTCTATATTACCTATTTAAGAAGTTCACTTAAAGGTTCACTACCAGTTTTCATATCTAACATTTCTGCTTAGATGTTCCATTTAAACCCTTTAATCTGACTCTAATATTAATTTCATCAAATTATAGACTCAGATCTATTTGCTTTTAATTATAGAACTATAATCTTTAAACTATTTTTATCCTTGAGGTAAACCTACCAGAGCAAGTTATATTCTCTTTTATCATTAATCTGATTTGATGCTATGGCCAAGACCAATACTTGCAATCAAAGTTATTTCTTAAACTGTTATTACTCTTATAAAATTCATCTAAACTTTAATACTTATTTTTCTAACTTCTTTTTCATTAATCCTACTAGTCGCAACTTAAAACTAATCAACTACTTAGATTTCCAATTCAAATAATCTGATATGGTATACTTATGTATCTTTTTCCTTTAATGATTTTGGCAGTCTGGTTGATTATATACTTTTCTAGACATTTTGTCATTCAGTTTATTTGACAGTTTCTATAAAGATGTTTTATGGGTTTCTATCAGTCTAATGCATTATTAAAAATTTATATTATCTCTTTACTTAAGATTTTTAAGTGAGTTTTTGTCTCCTTAGTTTTTTAGCCTTCTATACCTAGTAATCTTATTACAGATTTGTACTGAAGCTTTATATAACACTATTTTTTATATTCTTTTATATATGTGTAATATTATACTTTGTATAGATATCTCAAGCTCTCAATGTCAGATAAAATTTGACTTGGTGTATCTAAGATTACAGATACTCAAAATCTAACTGATTAGCAAAAAACAGTTACTATAATATAAGTATAATTTTCAAAATTTATTGTTTGTAGGAATTGAATCTTAGATCTGCTATTTGAAGATTAACAACCTATTTACTTTACTAGGTTGCTATACTCTATTATTATAATTAAAATTAACAAAATACAATATATATATAAATTAATAAAAATAAACTAAATATTTTTTTAATTTTGACAATCTTGCTAATAATTTTTATTTAATATTTTTTAAATTAATAGTTTAATATTTTCTAATTATTTTATAAATATCTAAAAGCAATCTATTGTATTAATTAAAGTTAAACCTAAATTTAAAAGTTATATTAAATTTATTTAAAGAATTAAATAAAAATTAGTTGTTTTTTTTGATATTAAGATGATTTTTTTAGTCTTTTAACTTTTTATTAATAATTTTTTTAGTAATATGATTTTATAAATCACTACAAGAAAGTGTATAATTGGTTATACATATAACTTTTCTATATTTCTATTTAAGAAGTCTATTTAAAAATTTCTTATTAATTGTTGTATTGAGGATAGTGATTCTTGTATAGTAGTTGGATTGTCATTCTCCAAGTGGCAGGTCTAAGGTTCAAATCTCATTTATAACAAAATTTGATAATTAACTTGTGTTATAGTAAAACTGTCTCTTGTCGATTAGTTGGATTTAGATATCTGTAATCTTAAGTATAACCAATCAGATTTTACTTATCATTAGAAGCCCAGGACATCTATACAAAGTATAATGTTACATGTATATAGAGGAATGTTAATAACCAGTATTGCATAAAACTTTAGTGCAAACCCATAATAAGACCACCAGATGTAGAAGACCAAGAAACTGAAAAGACAAAAGCCTACTTGAAAATTCCTGAGTAAAGAGTAGCACAAGCCTTCAACAGTGCTATCAGACTGATAAAAGTCTAGAAAACTCTAATAAAGAATAAGCAGATATGCAATTGGATAAAAAGATGTATAGAGGAGCATATGACCAACTAGGCTGCTGAAATCGTTAGAGAAAAAGGATACTAAGGTATATCATACTGGGCTATCTGAATTGAAAGTCTGAGGAGTCTGTCAGATTTTGAATTGGATAGTAGAAGGATGAAAAAAAAAAGTTGGAATGATAGGTACTGGGGTTTGGGTGAACTTTACAAGGGTAAAAATAGTATAACATAGTGGTTAAACAGGTAACCCCTATAATTGCAAGTGTTGGGTAACTATAG